CAGATGTGCAGGGCCAGGAAAGCAGCCAGGAAGTCCCTGCTCCCTGCCCCCCCATCCTGAACTTACCCCAGCCCTCTGGTCCCAGCAGCTTCTCTCACCTGCGACTTCTGGCCACTCAGCAGGCTCCTGTCCTTGTTGGCTCGAGCTGCCTCCCACCTAGCCAGGTCTCGGTGGTAGAGGTCAAACACGCAGGGGGAGCAGCCGCTGCCACAGCACTGGGAAATCAAGGGTTCCACGGGCCGTAGCTGCAGCCAGGCTTCCTCGCTGTTGTCCTCCTCCTGCTCCTCCTGCTCGTCCATCACCAGCAGGACTGCAGCAGGCTGGGAGAGGAAATCTGGACACGGCCCAGTGAAGGCCAGGCTCTGGGAGACCCCAGCCCCAGGGCCTCTTCCCTTGCTGGCCTAGGAGAGAGAGAACATGAAAGTCCCACGCTAGTTTCCCTTATTCCTTATCCTTTCCCCAAGGCTTGCAGGTGCCAGGTTCCCTGCCACGACTGGGGGTACAGATGGCTCAAGGATGCAGTTGGCTGTTAGAGGGGAGCACTTGTGCTGTGAATGTCAGAAGTGAAGCCCCGGCATGTGGTATACATCTTTAAGGGACTTCATTTCTAGCAAACTGGTTCCACTGCTCCCAAACTGCTTTGGTGTCAGGAGCTAGGAGTCCCTGGGAGACAAGGCTGAGGTCTTAGCCTTTCTCTGACCTATTACAAAGCACAGCCTCGTGTACAGAACATTCCCAGGGCACGGTGAGTGCTTACTTGGTCTGGGAACCAGGCACTTGTGAGGTGTGAGATGCTCCACGGTCCCTACTCTGAAGGTGTCTAGCAAGGTGGTTCATCAGCTTGTGTACTGTGTGCAGATGGGTGTGCAGCCTGAGTGAAGGAGGGAAGTCAGTTCTGGCTCCCTTTTTAGTTTATTTTTTCAAGATGTATTTATTTTACTAGAGAGAGAGACAGAAACAGAGAGAGAAAGAGAGAGAGAAAGAGAGAGAGACACACAGAGAGAATTATCTTCCATTCACTTGTTCACTCCCTAAATAGCTACAATGGCCAGAATTGGGCTGGGTAGAAGCTTCTTCTGGATCTTCCACATGGGTGCAGTGTCCCAAGGATTTGGGCCAGCCTCTGCTGTTTTCCTAAGCACATTAGCAGGGAGCTGGGTGAGAAGTAGAGTAGCTGAGACTAGAACCAGAGTCTATATGGTATACCAGCACCACAGGTGGAAGGTTAGCTACCACACTGGCCCCGGTCTCCTCTTTACATCAATTTCTTACTCCTTAGACAGACTGTTAATGCCAAACAGCTACATGGTGAGAACTGGCTTCATCTTTTCTGCCTCACAACAATAGACCCACCTTCTTTGGTATCTTTGAATTGGTAGAGAAGTTGCCACATTCGTTATGAGTTTTAAGATTTATGGATTTTGGGCCTGGCACGGTGGTGCAGTGGTTAAGGTCCTCGCCTTGCATGCCCGGGATCCCATATGGGCGCCGGTTCTATCCTGGCAGCCCCGATTCCCTTCCAGCTCCCTGCCTGTGGCCTGGGAAAGCAGTTGAGGACGGCCCAAAGCTTTGGGACCCTGCACCCGCGTGGGAGACCCGGAAGAGGCTCCTGGCTTCGGGTCGGCATAGCATCAGCCGTTGCGCTCACTTGGGGAGTGAATCATCGGATGGAAGATCTTCCTCTCTGTCTCTCCTCTCTGTATATCTGCCTTTCCAATAAAAAAATAATAATAATTAGAATAAATAAATCTTTAAAAAAAGATTTATGGATTTTTATTGGACAGTCAGATATACAGAGAGAAGAACAGACAGAGCAGAGGATATTCTGTCTGTTGATTCACTCCCCAAGCGGCTGTAACAGCTAGAACTGAGCCAATACGAAGCGACGAGCCCGGAGAATCTTCCAGGTCTCCCACATGGGTGCAGGGTCCTAAGGCTTTGGGCTGTCCTCAACTGCTTTCCCAGGCCACAAGCAGAGAGCTGAATGGGAAGAGGGGCCACTGGGATTAGAACCATATGGGATCCCGGGAGTTCAAGGCAAGGACTTTAGCCAATAGGCTACCACGCCAGGCCCATCTGTTATGAGTTTAACGAATCCATTGGTTTAAGCTTTATTCAGGCTTTTTTTTCTTTTTCAGCTTTATTTATGATGTAAGTGGCATAGTGAAATACATTGGCACCTGCAATGCCACATCCTATGTGGATACCAGTTCAAGTCCCAGTTGCTCTACTTCCAATCCAACTCCCTGCTAATATGCCTGGAAAAGAAGTGGAAGATGACCCAAGTGCTTGGATCCCTGCCATCCATGTGGGAGATCCAGGCAAAGCTCTTGGCTTCTAGCTTTGGTTCTGGCCATTGCACCCACTGGGAGAGTGAACTAGTGGATAGAGGATCTCTTTTTCTCGCCTCCTCTGTTGTCATTCTGCCTTTCAAATACATTATTTGGTTTACTCCTCCAATAGCTGAAATGGCCAGGGCTGGGTCATGGCTGGGCCAGGCATGAGCTAGGAACTCCTTCTGGGTCTCCTATTGTGACAGCCTGAAAATTCAAAATGGCATCAGTTTTATCAGGCCCTCTAAGTCTACATGAGTCTCAGAGTAAGTAGAAAAACAACTGTTCAGTTGGGGATCCATATGCAGAACCAGAATATTAGAAAGACATCTACTGTCTACCTAAAAACCTGCCTAACTGCAAAACTTACTTCCTTGCTATCAAGCAGGATGTAGCTCTTAGTCCCTATAAATACTTGCCCATTGAGTAGCTTAAAGTACACAACTAATTGGCCTCCAAGAAACGTTAGGAGATCCATCAGAGACAACACCAGACACGGAGATGTTAAAGCCTGACCTTTGTTTGCTGGTTAGGATGGCTGGGACAGCAGTGTCCGGAAAAACTTGGAGTATCTGCTGCGTTGATCCATAGCATCCACTTTTTTTTCCCTTTTTTTAAATCTCAAACTCACAGGCCTCCCAGATAATGAGAGAGATTACAGAGACACAGTACCATAATTAACAATCGTAACTGTTTCAATTGGGTTGCAGGTAGTCAACCTTTCCCTTAACCTCACATTAGTACTCAGCTACAAAGTTTCCCTTAGCCCAGGCTGAAATACAGAAACACAGGACTCAAGTTCCCCCTCCTTAACTTTGCCCAAAGTTAGCCTAGTTGATTGGATAATCTTTGGTCTCACACCAGGGCTAACTTCTTAGTTAATACATAGTTTTTCATGCCAGTGTTGAGTTTAAAAATCCCTGACAATGGCCACTTGGGGCTACTCCTCTCTTCTTTATTGTTAGGAATAAAGATTCCTAAGCTTCTAAGAGCCTGCCTGCCCCTGATTTATTTTTGGGATAGAATTTGTCAACTTACAACATCATGTGGGTGGCAGGGGCACAGATATTTGGGCCAACATCTGCTGTCTTCCCAAGCACATTAACAGGGAGCTGAACTGGAAGCAAAACTGCTGGAACTTGTATTGTCACTCTGACACAGGATGCCCCAGCACTGCACGTGGGGACTTAACCTGACATGCCACAATGCTAGTCCCTACGCCTCTATCTTCTCTAAGGGGCACTATCTTTTTTTTTTTTTTTGTAAGATTTATTTCTATTTATTTGAAAGGCACGATTACAGAGAGGTGGAGCCTAAAAGAGCTTTTCCATGTTGTGGTTCACTCTCCAAATGGCCACAATGGCCAGGGTTGGGCCAGGCCAAGCTGGGAGCCCAGAATCCTATTTCATTCTCCCAGGTGGGTACAGGGGCCCAAACATTTAGGTTGCTCTCTGCTGCCCTCCTAGGCACATCAGCAGAGAGCAGCAGGGAGAACCGGTGCTGTGGGATGCTGGCATCACAGATGGCAGCTGTACTAGCTGTGTGGGAGGCACCATCTTCAAGCCAGGCATGCACACATGCTGAATCTGTGATATGTCTCTAACCACCCATTAAGTTTAAAGGTCAGAGGATCAAGGTAGTCCCTGCCCCTACTCACCTTACACTTCTCATTCCTCTTAAAGAGAAACATGCTCCCCTCTATTTGCTCACTTCTATGGCAAGTGGGGAGCCCGACCCTGAGCACGGCAGGAGCCCAAGGTCTGGGGCCATCACTGTGCCCCTAGCAGGAGACATTAGCAGGAGCCTGGCATCAGGAGTGCGGGCGGGCACTGGGATATGCAGGAAGCTAACACCAGGTCAGCCACCTACCCTGACCTGCACCTTGGTTTCTACGAAGCACTCTATTTGCATCCAGTTTGCATTTATCCATTAAACAGTGACAGTTCTGCAGGTCGTGCTTTAGGTGTAGGGTATACAGCAGGGCAGAAACAAACGCTGCGTTCATGGAACTTACATCCTTGTGGGAGGTACGGTCCTCAAACAGAATCAACACGGAAAACATGCTGGACCGCGGTGTGAGACGTGTTAGAGAAAAATAACTCGGGGAAAGGGACAAGAAGTGTACAGCAGGTGATATGAATCGCTTTGTGCGCTCAACTGTCAGCTCTCAAGTTTCGCGTTCGGCACAGCGCCCAATACACAGCGGGCATGGCCACGGCCTGGATTTCACAAGGTCAAAGAGAAATCCCAAGGAAAAAGCAGGAAAGCAACTCATTCGGCATTTCCGCCCTCCCTTCTGCAGCGAGGGAGACTGAGCAGACAGGAAAGCGCCTCGCGCAAATTCCACCTGCTCACAGGCAGCAGGGATGTTTCCAGCTTCAGCATTCAAGTCCTGGCGCTCTCCTTCACGAACCACCCCAGTCCCTCCAGCGACCACTCACCCACTCTCCTGTGCTGTCCCTCACGTGAGGATCCTCTAGGTCCCGCCCACCGGGAGGCGGGGAGTGCTTGCCGATACGCGCCAATAGGAAAAGTATCACGGCCTGCGAGGCGGCAACAGGAAGGGGAAATCCTGACTGTGATTCGCTGAAGTGTCCGCCGTTCATAAAATTATCCCTGTCGCGCCCAGCCCCTTTTGTTCCCATCAGCCCCTGCGTGGGGAAGATGGCGGCGTCCAGGTGACGGGCTTGAGGAGACCGTACCGGTATGGCGTTGACGTCGTGGCCCGCCTGGCGGGCTCTGGCCAGCTCCAGCCAGCTTGGCCTCGGAGGATGCGGAGCCCCGAGACGCCAGGCTTACGAGTGGGGCGTGCGCTCCACGCGGAAGCCCGAGCCCCGTCCCCTCGATAGGGTGTACGAGATCCCCGGACTGGAGCCCATTACTTTCGCGGGGAAGATGCACTTCGTGCCGGATCTGGCGCAGCCGGTCTTCCCGCCCTGGGACCCCGGCTGGAGAAATCCCAAGTTCTACCGCTCGCCCCCCATTCACGAGCAGCCGCTGTACAAGGACCAGGCCTGCTACATCTTCCACCAGCGTTGCCGGCTCCTTGAGGGTGAGGCTCTTAGGGACTGACCAGAGTGGAACTTACGGCTTGGTCCAGCCCTGATCCCCGCCCCTCGGGCTTCGGAAACTCCTCGCCTGTTGGATTCTTTCTCTCCACTGTGGAACCCTTGCCACCTCCAGGGAGTTGTCAGGATTACAAGGGGTGGAAATTGCTGTGCTGGTGTGAGAGAGTAACAGAGATGAAGGTCAGAGTAGATCGGGTTTCCAGGCCGAGGACCCCTACCCAGGTTCTGTTGATTTGGGGTCAGTGGGCACTGACTATTTCTTGTGAAGTTGGTACTTCCGATTAGATAGCCCATAGTGATCCTTAGGTTCTGATATCCTAGAGATTACCTGTACTTTCAGAAATTGATGGAAGGTGGTTACAGCAAGACTGAGATAGCCGAAATAGTTTAATCTCCAGGCCTGATCATTCGTTGCAGCAGAGGAGGAAGTGATTTGCCCACAGATGCACTGCGGGTTAATAGTGACTCTGGTGTTGTGGATCAGGGCCTTTGTCAGAAGTCAGAGTGGAGTCTCAAGGCAAAGCCCCAGGTCTGCGAGTGTTCTGGCCTGTTTCCATTCTTGAGAACAGACCACCAACTCTGGTTACAGCAATATCACAAGTTATTTTCCTGGGTCCCCAGGGGTGGGGGACTTGGTCCTTCTCTCCATTCTTCTAGTTTCTGTCTCCACCAAAATCAGGATACAGATACGGAGATCCTGACCACAAGATGGCCAAATGCGTGGTAGCAATATTTTTCAAAAGGCTAGTTAGGAAAGAGCAGAGACGCGGCAGGATTTGGGAACCAAGCTCGAGAACCAATTGTAGGTTTGAAACACTTAAGTCAGTTGGCCAACCTCTTAAGCATTCTGGTCTTGTTCTTGAAATCTGACTTTCTAGCCTTTTAAACATGTCCTGTGTTCTTCTAGGGCACAGCACCCTGTGTGACCTGGTAATGGAACATCAAGTGACTAAAGGCATTATTTTAGAAGTTAAGATGACATTCATTTGATGAGGCCTTTGACCACTCACAGACAAGTTTTGTAAAATCTGTAATAAACTAGAGGATACGGGTCTGGCACAATGGCCCAGTGGCTAAATCCTTGCCTTGCATGTGCCGGGATTCAGTGTGGGTACAGGTTTGTATCCCAGCTGCTCCACTTCCCATCCAACTCCCTGCTTGTGGCCTGGAAGAGCAGTGGAGGATGACCCAAAGCCTCGAGAACCTGTATCCATGTGGGAGAGCTGGAAGAAGTTCCTGGCTCCTGGCTTTGCATCGGCTCAGCTCCAGCCATTGTGGCCAATTGTTGAGTGAACTGGTGAATGGAATATCTTTCTCTATGCTTCTCTCTTTCAATCTGCCTTTCCAAGGAAGATGGATAAATCCTTAAACAAACACATAAGCAAACAAAAGCTAGAAGATATTGGGCTAGGGAAGATGAAGATTCTCCTGGGGGACTTGTGGATTTGAGGGTATACAGACTTGGGATTCTTCCCAGCCCCTGTGTTTACAAAGAATGTGCTTTTTTTTAGCAAATTTCCTTCCATTCCATAGCACACTATCTAGCTTGTAAGTAAAGCTGTTGGCACAGGATCGATGGTGACATTGATCAGAATCTCTGATTAGTGTTTATCTTCTATATGCAAGTTAGTGAGCCATAAAAATGTTATATTTTTAAAGATTTTTTTTTTGTTTTGTTTATTACTGGAAAGGCAGATATACAGAGAGAAGGAAATACAAAGAGAAAGAAGAACCATCTGCTGGTTCACTCTCCAAATGGCTGTAGCTGCTGGAAACCAAGCCAATTTGAAGCCAGGAGCCAGAAGCTTCTTCTGGGTCTCCCACCTGAGTGCAGGGTTTCAGGACTTTGGGCCATCTTCTATTGCTTTCCCAAATCACAAGCAGGACACGGGAAAAGAAGTAGAGCAGATGGGATTAGAACTGGGAATCCCAGCGGATACAAGGTGAGGATTTAGCCACTAAGCTGTTGCCCCAAGCCTCATAAAATCATAATGTTTCGTTCATGTTCAAGCTTAAGGGTCACGGGCAGTGAAGACTGAAACTCAGTTTATCTGACTCCCAGGTTGTTTATCTCCTGGCCCATGTAACCTGTAAGTGACATTTGTGAACATTGGTTCCCATTGTGGTGTGTTAAAGTGAGGTGTCTTTTCCTTCATTGCTGTTCATTATTATAAGAGATTGCATCCCGGACAGAGCTTTTCAAGTGAAGATTACGCCCCTTAGTTGGCATAGTCATCTTCCAGAGGGGGTAGGTAGGCTTCCCAGCCAAGCAGTCACCAGCCTGCCTTGTGTCAACTGTGGGCCTGGACATTGAAGAAAAAAAAATCTATTAACCTTCAGCAGAGGGGCGGGGACTGCTGTGTCAACTTGATCCACAGCTTGGGTATCAAGGTTTGTCCCTCTTCCTCTATGGGATGTTGGTGTTGCAAATGGTTGTTTTAACCACTGGTCCACGGTGCTGGCCCTTCTGGGGTCTCTGTTGAGGCAGCCTTTTCCCTAACACGTTTCTAGCAGACCTAAGCATTGCTTCCTGAATTGCTTTTGGTTTTTGTGGCTGATCACCCTCAAGGTGTAAAGCAGGCACTCTGGCTTACCAAGAGCAAGCTCATAGAAGGCCTCCCCGAGAGAGTGATGAGCCTTGTGAGTGACCCGGCGAACCACATCGAGAACCAAGATGAGCGTGTGCTGAATGTAATCTCTCACGCCCGCCTTTGGCACTCCACCGAGGACATCCCCAAGAGAGAGACCTACTGGTGAGTTTCCCCTAGTCCTTCAGATGTCCAGCTGAGGGGCCCTGGAGTCAGCCTGTTGCTTTAAGTCCTCCAGTGTCTCTCCTTTTCTCTCAGTCCCGTTATTGTGGACAGCTTGCTGCAGCTGTGTAAATCCCAGATTGTCAAGCATCCTTCTCTGGCCACCCGGATGTGTTCCGAGAGCTACAGGTTGTCTGCTACCTGGAATCGAGGTTGGTCATCTTCCAAACCGCATCCCAAACCCCACCCACCAGCTAGCATCTTCTCTGTTTTTCTCTCCTGCTTCCCAATCCTTCGCTTTCCATATACCTGTTCTTCGGGTTCTGGTTTTGTAGGCTCAGTCATATCCCCAGCTCACTCTTTTTGTTCTGCATTGTTTCTTTCTAAGACCATTAATCCAAAATTAACAGCCAGCCTTATCTTTTTTAAAAAAGGTTTATTTGTTCTTATTGGAAAGGTAGATTTACAGAGAGGAGGAGAGACGGAAAATTCTTCCATTTGCTTATATTTCCAGATAGCCTCAACAGCCGGAGCTGAGCCGATCAGAATCCAGGAGCCAGAAGCTTCTTCTGGGTCTCTCACACAGGTGCATGATGCCAAGGCTTTGAGCCATCCTGTACTGCTTTTCTAAGCCACCAGCAGGGAGCTGAATGGGAAGTGGAGTAGCTGGGATCTGAACCAGTGGCCATATGGGATGCAGAGGCTTACAGTATAACCACTGCACCTGCCCCAGCCCCATCTTTTTTTTTTTTAATTAATTGTTTATTCATTTATTTTTTATTGGAAAGGCAGATATACAGAGAGAAGCTCATACCTTCTGCTCTGCAGGGCTCAGCTCTAGCCTCCTTCCATTGTGAGTCCAGGCTGGGTCACTGTGGGTCCTCTGCCTGTTGTGCCCTTCATACCATCGTAGCACATGCCACACTGTAATGCAGTATCTTTTCTGTCTGCCCCTGAACTGCCTGTTCCATTCATTTTGTCCACAGTAACCAACAGTGCATGGTTTGTAACAGGGGCTGACTATAGGGACAGGTGGATGAATGTCACCTGTTGGGTGTTTCAGATGGAGATGGTCTCAGGAGACAGGGGGTTCTGTTTGGTGGCATCCTGCAGCAGGGAGGCTAGCCATGAGTGATTGGGATGTCGGGACATCTGCTTGGTTTCCCCTGCTTGTCCCTTTGGCCTGTGGATCTCCTGGCAGGGCACTGGCCTTGCAGAGGTCACGGTCTCACTGAGGAAATGGGTGAGCCTGGTTCGTGGAGAGGGGGACTTGCTGGCATGTGATCGAATGCTACCTGTCATTAAACTACCTTATTTGGAGCTGTTGCTGGAGGAGTAAAGTGGAGGGAAGAGGGGCCTGTTGGGGTGAGAGCCCCCAGGGTTCAGGGTTTGCCACAGTATGTGAAGAAGCAAGAAGGAAACACTTGATAACCATTGCAGTGCACCTGGGATGTATTTTAACAAACAGATCAGAGTTTATCCATCCTCGGATGTCATATCCGTTTTTTAATGTGCAGTGAGGGAGACCCCATGCTAGTTAAATGGCAGTGTGTTGGCTAACCCACTTTTTGTGTGTAGGAGAAAACCACCTTCATCCATCACCATCACACCATGCTCTGACTGTTTGTACAAGGCCACGGCCTCACAGGGGAATGGGGGCAGGACCAGAGGGCTTGCTACTGGACTCCACTGGGGGCAGGGCAGCTGACAAACCCCCTGCCTGCACAGGACAGGCCTCTCCTGTTCCCACACAAAGAATTGCTTGCTTCAGGACATGTCTAGTGCCACAGTTGAAAACACTGCTCTTGTCAATCCTTTAGGGTGTAGTTTTAAGGCAGTGTTCTTTGGGGTTAGTTTTCCTATACCTGTACTGTTTCTGAATGCAGGCATACCACCTGGTAAGCAGAATTATTCTTGTTTCACTCTCGGTCCTCAGCTTGGGGCAGGTGCCCATCTGAACCCTAGAGGCCACTATTGTTGGGACTGACACTAGCAAGAAGACTACATGGGTTCTTCCAGTCTTAATCCAAGTTTATTGCACTTAAGCAAAGCATTGGGTTCTGTGGTTAGGGTAGTCGTGTAGAAGAGCTCTAGAATGGGCCTGGTACAATAGCCTAGTGGCTGGGGTCATTGCCTTGCATGCACCAGGATTCCATACAGGCACTGGTTTGTATCCCGGCTGCTCCACTTCCCTTCCAGCTTCCTGCTTGTGGTCTGGGAAAGCAGTTGAGGACGGCCCAAAGCCTTAGGATCCTGCACCCACGTGGGAGACCTGGAAGAAGCTCTTGGTTCCTGGCTTCAGATTGGCTCAGCTCCGGCTGTTGTAGCCAGTTGGGGAGTGAATCAACAGACGGATCTTTCTCTTTCTCTGTAAATCTGACTTTCCAAGAAAAATAAATAAATAAATCCTTAAAAAAATAAAAAGAAAGAAAAGCTGTAGAATGCTTGAGGAGTGTGTGGCTTGCCAGCTTTGAAAGGCTTTAGACCCAGGAGGACTAATGTCTCTGCTTCTCCCCCTTTTAGAGTCTATTCTCCTGCAGGTGCGTGGTTCCGAGTGGGCCCGACTGAGTGCCAAGGATCCTCTGCCCGCCGTCGCCTCCAGAGAGGAGGTGGAAGCGACCAAGGATCACACTCTAGAGACCTTCTATCCCATATCTCCCACCATTGACCTGCAAGAGTGTCATGTTTATGACATGAGAAACAACACAGGTGAGGGGCGCCTGGCCTTCAGGCTTCAGTGGCATGGAAATGGAGGCCAGGAGCTGCTGAGGACTCCTGGGCACTGGGCACCCCTGGGATCCAGGTGCTTTGTCCTACTGCCCAGGCAAGGAAGCCGCCGCTCCAGGGCTCCCTTTGCTTTTTTTCCCTCTGAGCAGGAACTGGCACTTCACAGTGGTCAGGGGTGGCCTGAGGAGCTTAGGACCAAGATTTTTTCCTTTTGTTCATTGGTCCCTTGAAAGATAATCCTCTTTCTCCTTGCCCTGCAATCTCTGGGCAGTCTCCTTTGAGGATTGAGGAAGCCCCTGGATATTGAGGAGACTGTTAATCAGACGGCAGCATCCAGTCCACCAGCTGGACTGAAGCCAGGCAAGGTGGGCCCATTCTCATCAATGCTCCAGACCACTCCATCTTTACAACTTCAGCCTACCTTACTCTTCACTGCTCTCCTGCAGTGCCCCGACACATCTGTATCTTCTCTTATTTGAGAGGCACACAGAGAGATTCCATCTGCTCTTTCACTCCCTAAATGCCAGCAAAAGCCAGGGCAAGGCAGAGCTGGAGCCAGGAGTTGGAAACTCAGTTCTGGTCTCCCTTGTGGCTGGTGGGAATCCGTTTAGCTTAAACCATCAGCCTTGCCTCCTAGTGTCTGTGAGTGCCTCAAAGACATAGGCAAGCTGTATTTGACCTGTGTTCCTGGACCTGTCTTAGAGTTTGGCCTGCAGTGAGCATGGAGTGTTTACAGATACAGACTGGCCGAGCACGCAGCGTGGCTAGGGTTCATGGGAGAGTGTGTGCTGTCTTCTGGAATGATCACGGCCAACATTTTCCCTGCCTCTTTCTTCCTCCTTTTGAACCACATTCTCTTATCCAGGAGATTCATTCTAGAAGTCCCATGCTGACCTTGGGCTCACTGTTAGTCCTGCAGCTGTGAAGAGTGTCACGGTGACAGGGTCCTGGCTGGGACTGAGCAGTGCTGAACGTGGGTGCGCAGCACTGATATTGGGTCCCCACCCTTGCTAGAAATGAGGCAGATTGTTACTAATATGTAGGAACTGAATTTTGCAAATGATTTTTATTTCCTTTTAATAATGACCACAACTCCTAACTTTCCCCTCTCCTGATCCCTCTGTCACCTGTGTCTCTGCTTGGGACAAAGGGATGGGGTTTGAGCTGACCTGGAAGAAGCACCTGTCACGGGTTGGCACACATTCTCTGAGAAGATGCCAGCAGTAGATGTTTTTGGGTTTGTAGGCACGTGTAGACTCTGCTGCAGCTACCCACAGCTATCTGTGTGTGAGTGAGAGTGGCTGTACTCCAGCCAAAATACTACTTAGAATCCCAGGCAGAGGCTGAGGCGGCTGGCAGGCTGGAGTGCACCAGCTATGAATTGTAGTGATACCGTGTACTTCACTAGGTCTCCGTGTACTTTGCCCCTCGGCTCAGGTGAGGCGGCTGTGCTGCGACTAGGTATCACTGCTCTGTCTTCACTCTTCCACACTGTCACATATCTTGCAGGGTTCCAACAGGGTTGTCCTTATCCCCATCCCCACACCCTGTATTTCCTGGAGAAGGCCAATTTACGACCCCACCGCTTTCGGCCAGAGCAGCTGAGGGCCAAGATGATCCTGTTTGCTTTTGGCAACGCCCTGGCTCAGGCCCGGCTCCTCTACGGGGTAAGTCTGCAGAAGTCCATTGAGTTGCCCTCCCTGGTACTGGTCTCCTACCTTAAGGTCACTGTTCAGAAAAAGTCAATGGGCATGCCTGGCTGTGTTGGCTGGGAGATGTGGTGTCCATTCACCTTGCAGGTGTCCCCTGCACAGGGATGCTGGTGTCTTCCAGGGCCAGCTATATGTCTGAATTACTTCCACCCAGTAGTTCACAGGTCCTGGGTTCTGCCACAGCCTCATGGCGAAGCTACACAGCATGCCCAGTGCTATCTAGCAGGAAGTGATGGAGAAAGGCCTGGGGCAAGATGTGGCCAGAATTAAATCTCTAGCTATGTCCCCTGTAGCACCCTGCCCTGCACTACAGTGACTGCACTGCAGACAAGCAAAAGATGGGAAGCAGTGGAAGGGCCCAGACCTTGGGTGCTAGCCTGCCACAATGGGCCCTGAGGTCCTAAGGGGCCACCTGGTGGTCTCACCTTGGTCCTGAAAGGAGGGCCCCGGGATACCGTTGGGGAGGCTGGAGGCTGAGCAATTATCACAGAAAACTGTTCTGTGATTGGAGGAGCAACTGGCTTGGGAACCAATGGATGTTGAACTTGGGTTCTTCCTATCAGTGGGTTCTCAGAATGCATTCCTGGGTTAGTAATGAAGCCTCACCTAGGACTAAGAAACAGAACCTACCAGCCCCAGGGTGGAGGGCCAGATGTCTGTTTGCACCAGTTCCCTGGATGATGCTGTTACAAGCTCAAGTCTGAAAACCACTATGCTCAAATTTGAGAACCGCTGCCATGGTTAATACTTAGAGCAACCCTGGCTGGCTGAGCATGTTCGCATCCTTGTACCAATGAGAGACAGAGACTTGGGAGGCTGTCATTGCCCATGGTCATGTGGTTGGGAAGCTGTGACCTACACGTGTCCGTCCAGGCCTGGGAACATTCATGTCAGCTCCCTGATTATTGCTGGAAGACTGAAAGGTTGGGTATCCTGCCCACAGGAACAAGGATGGGCCTGAATTCCTGGAGCTTGGAAAGGTGCACCCCTGCCCAACTTCCTGGGGAAGGAGCAGGGTCGATAACACTGTGTCCCAGGCCCAGGGTGCATCATGGCTCTGTGCCATGCCAGTTTTTGCCAACAGAACCTGTGTAGTTACACTGCCACTAATTGCCACCCAGTTGGGTAGGAGAGGAGGCCTCTGCAGTCCCCTCCAGGTACAAATTATTCCTGAGGATGTGAAGTTGAGCAATTATGGGAAGAGCCTGTGTGTAAAAGGTAAAATTGCTGAGAAATTTATGTACTACCTGCAGTTTTATTGATCTGTAGAGGGAGATAAGAGTCAATACAAAATTCTCGGCTAACACTTAGAGGCACTTGCCCTTGTATTTATTTCTCACACAGTTAAGAACAGGTATTTCTAAGGCCAACAGTTCCCAGTGTGGCCCCCACTGAGGTCTGACTTAGCTGTTCCTAGGGTCAGGTCAGCCCTGCGGGGGTAAGAAACTGGTTTGGCGTGGGGGCTTCCCTGCCTCCTGAGGGACCTGCGTGCTGGGTTTTTGTCCAGTGAGCAGCAGAATCCAGATGGGACTATTGCACAAACTCTTGGTGGTCTAGCTGAGGCTGTGTCATCCACACAAGGTCATGGGGGGGAATGAGGGGACGTGCCACTTAGATGTTTGGGGACACCAAGTGTCAGCCCACATGATTGAGTTTTAAGTGGCTTAGTACTTGGGGTCTGATCTTGTCTCCCACGTCATGGGTGACTTTGAGCAAGTGATACCATCCTGTGGACTCAATTTGCCTACCTGCTAAGTGGGAGAATGCTTCTGGGTCGCTGACAGCAGAGATGACTCTGAGGTGGGCAGGATGCCCAGCCCTAGAGGTGCTCCAGCAGAGGTGCTCTGGCAGTGGTTCTAACGTTCTTACTGTCACCAAGGGGCGCCAGCTCCACTTATCTAGATGCATCTGGTGAACTGGTGCTGATGTGGCCGCTGGCAGCCACTACGAATGCTGAGCTGCAGTGAGTGTGGGAGGCTTGGGCCCCAAGGCAGAGCGAAGCGAGAGTGGGAAATGCACAGGCAGCTTCGTGACTTCAGACAAGTCCCTGCGCCTCTCTGGACTCCATCCCCTCACCCATCAGATGGCAGGAGAACTGGGTGAGATTGTGTCTGCTCATCGACCCTCTAGTGTGACATTTGATGGTCTGCGCCACTTGTCCCCATCAGCTAAGTGCTAGGCGTGTGAGGCGTTTCCGGCACCAGCTCCCAGCTTACTGACCTGAGCTTTGCATCTTTCCCAGTACTCAGGTCTCATTGGTGGGTGTTGTTACTTTGATGTGGAGAGCAGCCAACAGGCCAGGCCCAAGGCCCTGAACTGACTGTTCTGTGTTTGGTTGTCCCAAGGTGAAGTCATTATATGGGAGCGGATGTTTTAGTCTTTATTAAAACCTTTACTTATTTGAGTGAAAGAGTGCATTCCCAGCACGGGTTTACTCCCTAGTTGCTCACAAGACCTGGAACCACTCCTGGCTGATGCTGGAGAGTCTAGAGTCCTGATCTGTCACCTGCAATAGGAACCCAGTTGCTCGGGTTCCATTGCCACTGCCCTCTGGGTCTGCAGGAAGCTGGTGCTAGGGTTGGAACTGGGTTTGGAACCCATGCACTGCAGTGTGAAATGCAGGTCCTTTCAGCACCAGGCTAAACACCTGCCTCCGGGGAAGTGTTTTAAAGGGTGGAGCTCGAAGCTGCCTGTCTGCTGTGCCTTGTGGTGCCCACTTTCTGATAGATTGCTGCTTGTCCCCTTTTCCCGTCAGGATGACAGCAAGGTGCTGGAGCAGCCCATAGTGGTGCAGAGTGTGGGCACAGATGGACGGGTCTTCCAGTTCCTCGTGCTGCAACTCAACACAACGGATCTGGCCTCGAACGAGGGTGTCAAGAATCTGGTGTGGATGGACTCAGACCAGCTTCTCTATCAGCACTTTTGGTGTCTGCCGGTGATCAAAAAGAAGGTGGTTGTGGTAAGTCCAGCAGTGGCTGTCTGCTGCTGGCACAGGGCGTAGCCCATCCTGCCTGGCACCTGTGGCCTTCTTCCAGCAGGTGGTCCTGCCCTGCTTTCAGCCCCTGCTTCCCTCTGCGCCCCACCCTGCAGCCATGCCTCCATGACTGCTTCCTGAGTTGGCAACACAATGGTGGTGGGGAGGCTTTTTCCCCTCCCCCGTTTCTCTTTGACAGTCTTATATCTGACTTTCCCTGGTGGCACCGAGCCAGTTGTGTCTGCCACGGGGCCTGAATGCCCATTGGTTTTGCGCATGACCAGTGCCCAGCATCTGTCAGTGTCGTTTCCACACTGACATGGCTGCCAGACACAGGCCCCCTGTATGGGCCCAGTCATCTGCAGTCACCCCTGCCACTGCAGGCCTCTCTGTTCTTTATTCCTATTACCACTTCAGATTTCTGCTCATTTCTAAGAGAGCAGGCCACATGTGCTGGTTCACTCCCCTACACCCACAGCCCTTCCCCGCCACACTCCCTGTCTCGAACCCAGGAGCCCAATCTAGGCCCCCATGTGGGAAGTCATCATCATTGTCCTTCAAGGCTGCCCCAGCAGGATGCCAAAGCAGGCACTGAAAGCCGGCACTCCAGTGGAAGCCACGGCAGCCCTGTCACTGGCTCAGCTGCTAGGCCCAACTCCTGCCCGCAGCTTCTCAGCCCTCAGCCATGCAGGCCCTCTTTCCTCCAGCATACTACCAGGTGCCAGGCCCATTTCAGTGCTGTCAAGTTGTTCCTGCTTGACTCCCCAGCTTCACCTCCTGCTGCTCCACCCCAACAACATGCACCCCTGCCCTGCCCCTGCCCCTCCACTTATATCTGCACAGGACTGTTGCCTCCCAACTTCACTATGTTTGTTCCTTCCTGGTCCATTCTCCTAGTCTCTCTGTGGGGCTCTCTGTTAGTGAGCTCTCACTCTTGAGGCATCTCCTGAGGCATTCTCCTTCTACAGGCAGTCTGTCACCCTTTGTTCTCACTGTTGAGCATCTCATTGTCTACCCGAGCTCTGCTCGGTCTTGGGCACTGGGCACAGGCTGGGCCTGAGAATGGCTGCTTCATCAGTGGGTGTGAGATGAGGGAGAAATGGGAGCATTGTCTCCTCACCTCTGAGGGCACAGGGCCCTTTGTCCTGGCAGTTGAAGCAGGAGGGTTGGGGAGCAGTAGGGCCTGGGTGATGGGTGCTGGCACCCCTACCCCCTTTCCCCACTGTGGCTACTGCTGGCAACCTGCCCCATGTGGGGCTTGGAGAAAGGTATCTGAGAAGCCTACCTACAGCTAGCCTCTGCTTTATTTGCTTTGTATCAGTGATAGGATCCTAATGGCTCTGTTCTTTCCAGGAACCTGTTGGGCCAGTGGCTTTCCAGCCAGAGACGTTCCAGAAGTTTTTAGCTCTATATTTGCATGGTGCTGTGTGAATGAGGACTGCTGTGGGGCCTGAATGGTCTCTTCTCTACTCCACCTGAAGAATTGAACCCCGGGAAGCTGGAGGCCTGGCTTGGCACCTGGGGCTCTTGCAGCCTGGAGGGGTCTCGCTAGCAATAAAGAGAGAGCTTGCATTGCTGTGGAGCCTGTGTCTGGGTGAGTGTGCCGTGGAATGGGCATCTGTGGCACATGCCCGTGGGTCCCTGTCCTGGTTCCCTGGGTGACTTCAGATGAACATCTTCATCTCGGAGGTTTGTTTCTTTATCTGGAACTTAGGGCAATATGACTGGCCTTGTCCTGGAGGATGCTAATGGAGCAGGTGTGCTCTCTGCTTTGGCAAAGCTTTACTTGGCGCTTGGTCCTCCCGGGGTTAAACTGGGCATAAACCACGCAGGTGCTACAGAAAGTCAGAGGGGACTCCGCCCTATAGGTCTCTCCCAAGTGCTCTGGGCCCATCCCCACTGAGCTGCCACTTCTGGCGCTGATGACACAGAGTCCTTCTTTGCCAGCACCTCATGCCCAGTGTATTGACTCCCCACACATGCCTTAGCAGGTAAACGTCACTTCTATATTGAAGCCTCATGTGGAGTGCCTACGATGTGCTAGGCTCTGCTGTGGGCTCCAGAGATGATTTAAAGGATTTGCCCAAGATTGCACAGCTTTTCCAGAGACACCTGCGACCCATGGGAGGAAAGATGGAGCCTGGAGGTCATGCCTTTTCCCAGGTGCCATTGGCCTGTCACAGATTCTGCGATGTGCTGCTCCTGCCTGTGGGGAGGCCTGGACTGAGTTGGCGCTGTTGGGCAGGGACTGCTGAGAGCAGGTAGAGCAGAAGCTTCCCGCGGTGGCTCGCGAGCCCTTGAGAGCGCTGAGAGTTCATGCAGGTCCGCAGTTGGAAAATGGCCATGCTATTTGTGGCCTGTGTCTGCTGCCCAGGCTGGCTCTGTCCCCACTGCTTCAACACTGTCAGTGTCTTGGCAAGGCTAGGGTAGGATGGCAGTGAGAGACGGCAAGGAGGGGTGACCATGTGGAAGAGCAGAGCTGTGAGGGATCCATGCAAGGCATAGAGTGACTGGAACCTGGGGCAGGAAGAGGGGGTGTTGCACTGAAGTGGCCTGTCCCCAAGGGGCCTGGAGCCCCAACACCCCAGGCTGTCCTCTGCCTGGTGGGCACGGGGGTCCACCCATGGGTGAGCACTGGGGCAGCCCAAACAGGTTGTTTCTTACAGATGCTACTGCAGCTAGCATCCTCCTTCCTGTGTCTTGGCTCTTGGCAAAATTCTCAGCAAAAGTTGCTGAGTCAAAGAAATTTGACCTGCTGGTGGGAGCAGAGGACAAGCTGGTGGGTTGACGGGATGCTGCTGCACTTGTCCTCAGCAGTGATGTGATGATGTGGCCGCCCCAAGGAGTCCAGATCCCTTGGGAAGTGTGAAGGGTGAAATTAACTGCAGCCCTGAAGGAGAGGCATGGAGGCTCCAAGTGAGGGCAACGTGTGGATGACCCTACCCTGGGACAGGCCCGTCTCAGAGCATGCTTGCCCCGATGGGACACACCCAGCTGCAATGTGCAGCCAGTGCTGCACCATGCAGCAACCAGGGCTGGCAGTTTAACCTTTCCATAGAGGGAAGGAGTTGGAGTCCAAGACAGCATGGTGTGGTGACAATTGTTCCCTCACCTGGATGCTCACTTCCCCATAGCCTGTGGTCTGCTCTCTCGCTCCTTTCCTGCTCACATACAGAAAGGAAGCAGCACAGGTTGGCATGAAGGCCCCAGGTAGCGTGGAGGAGCCTGGACCAGGGAGCAGGTGTAGCAGGGGCGTGGATGTGGGAAGGCTGGCTGTGGTCTCCTGGGAGTGTCTGGGAGCATCCTGTGTTAGAGCTAAGTGTCTGTTTCATTTGCAGCAGACTCCAGTGGGGAATTACAGTTATGGTCTCAGGAAAGCTGTTACCCAGAGCCTCCTAAACTCCTGCTGCCTGATTACAGCCTCAGCTTCCCCATCTGCCAAATGGACATGCAGTCCCTTCTTTTCCAGTTTCACCACCTTTCAAAAGATTTATTTACTTTTGTTGGAAAGGAAGATCAGATTTACAGAAAGAAGGAGAGGCAGAGAGAAAGACCTTCCATCTGCCAGTTCACCCCTGCCAAGAGGCAGCAACTGCTAGAGCTGAGCAATCTGAAGCCAGGACCTTCCAGGTCTCCTAGGCAAGCACAGGGTCCCAAAGCTTTGGGCTATCCTCTGCTGCTTTCCTAGGCTAGAAGCAGAGAGCTGGATGGGAAGTGGAGTAGCTGGGACACAAACTGGTGCCCATGTGGGATGCTGGCATTTGCAAGCTGAGGATTTAGTCATTAGTACATCGCACTGGGCCCTGTTTCAACACCTTCAGGCTAAAGGTTGTGTTTGACCAAGAGGTGTCAATAGGTGGTTTGGAGTTTCCAGAAACTGTGGGACAGTGGCTCTCCACAGCCTCATTCAGGCTGCCCTCAGTTTACCACCAAGGTTGGTTCAGGCTGGGCCCTAGACAGGTGCTTGTCCTGGGACTTGACTGGCAGGGCTCTATCCCTCCTGGCTACTGGCACAAGGCTAAGGCTGAACGGCACAGGGTCATCTCAGGACTTTTTTTTTAAATAAAGATTTATTTATTGAAAAGGCAGAATGACAGAGAATGCTTCGTATGTTGGTTCATCCTACAAATACCCTACAGTAGCCAGGGCAGGGCAAGGCCAGGAACCAGAAGTTCCATCCTGCTCTCACGTGGGTGGCAAGGACCCAAGTCCTTGGAGACATCATGCAGACGCCTCCCAGGTGCATCAGTAGGAAATTGGGTGGAAAGCAGAGTAGCCTGGAGTTGGGGGATGGCCTGGTGGCTCAGTAGGCTAATCTTCTACCTTCAAGTGCCAGGATTGCATATGGCACTGGTTCATGTCTAGGCTGCTCCACTTCGCATCCAGCTCCCTGCTAGTAGCCTGGGAAAGCAGTGGAGGATGGCCCAAAGCCATGGGACCCTGTGCCCATATGGGAGACCCGGGAGAAGCTCCTGGCTTCTGGTTTTGGATCGGCTCCGGCTCTGGTAATTGTGGCCATGTGGGGAGGGAACCAGCGTTAGATCTTTCTGTCTTTCCTTTCTGTAAATCTACTCTTGCAAAAAAAAAATTTCTAAATAAATAAATAAAAATAGCATGGATTTGAACTGGCACTCTGATATGGGGACGCTGGTGTTGCAGGCAGCAGTTTAACCTGTAGAGTGTCTGACATGTAACAAGGGAGGACAGTACAGACTGGTGTGTACATCAGCGGCAGGTGTTTGGCACAGTGTTTAAGTGCTTGGGTTCAAGTCCTCGGTCCTCTGCATCTGATTCTAATTTTCTGCTATGGTATACCCTGAGAGGCAGTAGGTAAGGCTCAAATGCTTGGGCCCTTTATCTAATTGAAACGCAGAGTTGGTGAATCTTCATTTGCCAGTTCATTTCCCAAATGGCCTCAACAGTTGGCGCTGGGCCAGGCTGAAGCCCAGAGCCTGGAGCTACTTTGAGACTTGGGGCTTTAAAAGAAAGCTGCTGGGCCCAGCGTGGTAGCCTAGTGGCTAAAGTCCTCACCTTGTATGTACCGGGATCCCATATGGGTGCCAGTTCGTGTCCTAGCAGCCCCACTTCCCACCCAGCTCCCTCCTTGTGGCCTGGGAAAGCAGTGGCAGATGGCCCAAAGCCTTAGGACCCTGTACCCATGTGGGAGACCCAGAAGAATCTCCTGGTTCCTGGCTTCAGATCGGCTCAGCTTTGGCCATTGCAGTCATTTGGGGAGTGTACCATTGGATAGATCATCTTCCTCTGTCTCCTTCTCTCTGTATGTCTGACTTTGCAATAAAAATAAATAAATGTAAAAAAAAAAAAAAGAAAGAACTGCTGTTGGAGCGACAGGAGGGCAAGTGAGGCTGGGTATGTTCCAGGTGGGACCAGGAGCACTCCCCAGGAACATCTGTAAGGAAGCGAGGAGGGTGCTGTGGGGATGGAGGGCAACTGCAGCCTGGCAGACCCTTCAGAGAAAGTGTACAACTGAGCGCTGTTCCGAATGCAGCCCCTGCCTGGGAGGGGGCAGGGCAGCTCCCTGGGGTCCCAGGGAAGGTGCCAGGAAGGACTGCAGCTGTGAGCAATCAGCAGCTGGGTGGGGGTGCTGCTGGAGGTCACTCAGGTGGGTAGGTAGCCTTTGAATAAGAACCTGACTGTGGGGGTGGAGCAAGGGAAGATCCTGGGGGACAGTGGATAGCACAGTCCCTACCCAACCCTGGTCTCTGGGGACCTCTCATGGCTGCCGTGGAGTGGGCTGACTGCCCTAGGTTCCAGCCTGGCAAAAGCAATGTGACCCCTTTCTGTCACTTGGCTGTGCCCTCAAGCCTAACACATCCAAGCCCACATACAACATACAGTGGGTCTCCTTGTTGCCAACTGGACCAATTAGGGAACCCCCAAAGAGGTCAGGATTGGGGAGGAGACCTCCATAAAGAACAGCCCCAACAGTTCACTGTTAGCTTCCCAAATGCTTAACTCTGCCTTGGTCTGCTTGGAGCTGTTGATCCAGCAGGAAGTCATGGTCCCTGCTCCCTAGGAGTCCCCTGTCTGCAGGCCACACCTGACTGCAAGGCCAGTCTCCTTTGGACCTATGGCAGCAGGACCCTAGGAGGTCCCCTGTCCCCACCCTCAAGCACCCACTTGGGTGACAGTAACAGGTGTGAGCACCTGTGCTTACAGTGTCAGTCACTCCACGACCATTTCCCACAGCACCAACTTGGGTACAGTCCATGGCAGATGAGCACCCAGCCTGTCAGGGAAGGCAGGTCTCCCAGCAACAGCAGCAGGGCCCCTCCCTCACCACCCCCTGGATGACTTCCACCAACCTGTCCCTTCCCCCCAGAGCTGTACAAGCATCCAAATGCCAAGGGCTCTCCCTCCACCCGAGACTGCTCCACGACCTTGGTACCAGCGCTCACAGCAGCTTGCCACACTGAGCTTGGGTTTGTAGCCTTGAATGCTTGGGTCCCTGTACCCACATCAGAGCCCAAGATGAAGCTTCTGCTCCTGGTTTCAGTCTGGTCCACCCTGGCTGTTGTGGCCACCTGGGGAATGAAGCAGCAGGTAGATCTGTGTCTGTCT